CTCCGCCCCCGACTCCGCCCCTTCGTGTGACGTCATCTGTGCACTTCGACACACAGGGAGATAGGGGACGACATGGGCCTGGGTACATCTGAAGGACCCACACCGACACCTCTGAGGGCCCCAGACCAGTATCTCGGAGCTCGGAAGGCCCCACACCGGTGACTCTGAGGACTCACCGGCTCCTGAGAGCACCATGTTGATGTCTAACGGCTCCACAAGGCCACTGAAGGCACCACACAAGCTCCCACTGAGCTCTTATGTCCATGTACCGGCCTCTGAGGGATTTAACCCTCGCGGGCCCGGGGGGGGCGTTTTTCGCCCCCCCCCCCTGGCGAATATTTGCGATAACTCCCGAACGCTTAGGGATAGGAAGGCGAAACTTTCAGTACCTTTTCTCCCATCAATTTGACATCTTCTGAAGTAAAAAATTTGGACCTAGCCCCCTTGATGACGTCTGGTTCATTTTTCTAGACCCCTGCACGGCAAAAATCGGCGTCACAGACGCAAACTTCAAATAGCTGCTAAAAATAGAGTTTTAGAGATAATAACAAATTACGAGCACGGCTGTGTAGCGTTTGACCTAGAGAAACATAGAAAAATAGTTTTGATGACCTGAGGTCAGAGGTCAGGTCAACGACCCCGAAATGTGGTTTTAGTTTTTGCAAATAACTTCGACAAAAATGGTCCTAGAGCTACGGCAGTGGTACCATCGCATTCGCCTTGTCAAGCCGCGTCGAATGATATATATTTTGTTCGGAAAAGGTCAAGTTTCATGTTGACCTCATGTGACCTCGAATGACCTCTGGTTGACCTTGACACATGAAAGGTCGTTTATGATGGATTTGTACCCGCTGATCACGAATCTGGCATCTATTTTCCTCTAAGCCTTCATTTAGAGCTTCCGGATGGCAAAATTGTTTTATTTATTATTACTAACTTGAATCAGTGAAATAGCCTCTAGCAGGGATACTCTTCTGTGGCCTTGACCTTTGAGCAGCCTTGTATCGTAAGATGAACCACAAATAGGGAACTGATAAGCCTCAAAACATTTCAAAACATCTTGGAAGTTAGCACGCAAGATGTGCGAAAAAGTGCCAAGTTTGAGGTCAATTTTGAGCGTGATCTTGACCTTGACCTTTGATTTGGAACACATTTTTAGAATCCTCAGATTCTCTTCTTTTGTTTGACACCCAATTTTGCCGGTTTGATGCAGCCTGCCGTCCTCTAGAAGGCTTACTTTGAGATCACTACACATGTGCCGGTTTTGGCCTTTGACCTTGACCTCTGACCTTGAAAATTGACCTGAGGTCAAAAATTTTAGATGCATTAGAATCGTCTTGTAAGGACCTTTCGTTTGGTATCGCTTTTGTTTCCGTATCTCCCTTATTTACGGAGTTAGACAGGGGGACGAAAAACGCCCCCCCCCCGGGCTGCGGTGGTTGGGATTACCCCCCGGGCCCGGCCGGGTTAAGCCAGCGCATTCATAGCTCCACACCAGCAATTGTAAGGGCTTCACACTGAAGTATCTGAGGGTTCCACACCGGTGTCTCTAAGGGCCACATACCGGCATCTCTGAGGGCCCATACCGGCATCTCTGAGGGCCCCATACCGGCGTCTACGAGGGTCCACATCTGGCGGGCACCCATCAGCGACTGAAGGTCCCACACTGTCGACTCCGAGAGCCCCATCTGCGTCTGGGAGCACCATGCCGTCTGTAAGAACCACAGCGGCTCCTCCGTACGAAAGATGGGCGTCTCCATGCCAAAGGGGAGCGGTTCTGAGACAGAAGGGCACCTACGTGCAATAGAGGGGCGCCTATGAAGCCCATAGGGGCGCCTCAATGCGAAAGAGGGGCGCCTCTGAGGCCTACATATATGGGCGTCCACATGCAATAGAGGTCTGCAAATTGCAATTGATCAATGCCATGGGGGTGCATTCATAAGAAACAGGGGCGCCGGCATGGCAAAGAGAGGTGCCTTCAAGTGTCCATAAAAGAGAGACGCCTATGATAAGCGCACATTGTATGCGACAATGGGGCGACTGTGGGACATATAGGGATGTCTCTGATGACTATACATAGGGCGCTTATATGCCAAAGAGGGCGCCTATGAAGCTAATGGGGGAAACGAGGAAGACATTTGTGTAAGGGTTTTCAGGGGTCATGCGCCGTTTGCAGCAAATGCATTCTATAAAAAACGGAGGGGAAATAAGTTTTAAAAATGGTGCGACCGGAAATGACGTCAGAGTGACGTCATGTTCGGCCGATTTCGACGCAAAACATTGAACCACGGCAATCGCTCCCAAGAGCTCAGTTTTTAAGCTAGATCCAATTTCTTTGCATGAAAGGACTCAGAATTGACCGCGCTATCAAACTGCTATCTCGAATTTTCAAAATTTTGAAAATTTCGAAAATTTGATATAATAATATTCAAAATATGTATTTTTATATTTTTTTCAAAAAGTTTTTGACTTTTCGAAAAAAACGGAATATATGTGACAGAACGCTTGATTATGACTAACTCTAGCAAGTTTTAGCTAAATATCTTCAAAAATGGCCAAGTTATACGCATTATTGCAATAAATTCACAATTATTAATTTTTCAAATCAATTTTTCAGTACGTATTTGACATCGTACACCAATATAAATGGCACCATCGTGTTCTTGAGCTCAAACTGCATCCAATAGACACCTTTTTTGTTGAAAAATTTTAACTTCAAAATTTGACCTTTTTTGACCTGAAAGTGACCTGACCTAAGCTAAATTCGACTCAAAATGACCTCGAATGACACAGACGACATCAAATTCGAAATCTATGGCCTAAATGGACCATAAAACATGTGTCACGTGACCGACGCATGATAAAATATTTTCGTGACCTGTGATGACCTGACCTTGACCTGAAAATCAAAGTAAAAGCTTGGTACCCTCAGGGTATCTCGAGCATCTGTTTAAGAGTGTGTGTACCAAAAATGAGCCTGATCTGACTTGTAAGACGGCGGCCAGAGCCCAAAATGTGAACAAGCCAAAATGCTAATAATTTTTACTTTGACCTGACCTGTGACGTCATCGGTGACCTCGAGGTCAATGAAATTAGGTTTCGCTCGACAGTTTTTCCGGGGCTATCAGACGCCGTTTGAATTTTGACGATCGGCCCAGTAGTTTCGGAGTTAGGAGGGGGGCTATGAATAGCCCCCCCCCCCCAGTAGGGCGTGTTATACACAGACCCCAGTGGGGCGCGGGTTAAGAAAATGATCATCATCATGTGTGTCATGAGCGCTGACGGCCAACAAAAGTATGATATTTATATTCAGTACGTAGGGGTGTTGCCGCGTAACTTTCAGCCTAGTTGTCATGGTAACGCCTCAAAAATTGACCAACCTTTCTCTAGGACTTCTCGTTTCACTCTGGCTCGTCTCGAATCGAAGGTGGATTGCGCCACACCCTTGTCAGTTTATCGTGAAGCTATTATCGGTAAGAATGATGTAGTGCCACGAAATCTAAAACAAGTCGAAAATATCAAAGCAAAGTTAAGCAGGGCTAAGGTCGACTCGCAGTCAACCCTATAGAGCCTTCTATAGAGCCTTGAGTCAACCGTGCGATCGTCAGACCCTTATATGGAGCTAGTGCGACGATGTATAAAGGAGAATGGGAAGGATTTTCAGGGCTTGAAGTTTCTTCGCGAAGTACGGTTTACCGATAAACCATATGTTTTTCTTTATACAGATCAACAAAAGACTGATGTAGCTCGATTTTGCTGCGAGAAAGTGTTTCTCGGTCTTTAGTATCGACACGACATTTAATATGGGAGACTTTTATGTGACTCTTTCGACCTATGAAAATTTGAGTGTAGTTTCAAACACAACAAAAAAACCACCCTACTTTTCTTGGGCCTGTTATGCTGCATGTATCAAAGGACAGCGACTCGTATTTGGCATGTGCATGTGAAATTCGACAACTTCTAGGAAACACCAAGACTCTAACCGCCTTCGGCACAGATGATGACGACTGACGAGGCTCTTCATGGGGCATTTAGAGCTTGTTTTTGTAAAGCGGACCAATATCTGTGCAAAATTCACTTTAGAAGAAATATAGAAAAAAGGGTTGGTGAACTTGGCATGTCTCCTTCAGACCAAAGTATCATTTTAACAGACCTCTTCAACGCGAATGACGGTTTGCTTACGGTCGGCGACGAGGCATCATTTATAAAAGCACTCAACACCTGCATCGACAGATGGGCTGCTTTGATTGGGGAGAAGGGTGTGCGATTTGCACGTTGGTTCCAGAAGTATAAGATCCGAGGGGCTGTTTTGGGAATCCTGGGGAAAATTTTTCAACGAATCTAACCCCGCGTTCGATGTCTCCCGGACGGCGAAGATTCTACGCCGTCCGACCAATCACGTTCCATAACCGCAGCCGAGCCCCCACTGACCTTGGACGGGATTGGCCGGACGACGTAGAATCTTCGTCGTCCGAGAGACATCGAACGCGGGGTAACTGAAAGCATGAACCGTAGTTACCCCATTCGCCGCCAGGGGTGCAACCCGACCCGCGAGCTCGGTCGCGGCCGCGGGTCAGGGTCAGTCCGCGTTGGTGCTCCGCACGGGCCGCGACGCTCCGTTTGTGTGCGGGTCGCCGGTATCTCGAGGCGGCCTGTCTCCTCATGGAGGGCCAGCTCCAGGCCGAGTTGAGTGCTTTGGCGGAGAGATTTACCCAGTTGGAGGTGTCGGTGGCTTCGCTTAGCGAGCAGCTGAAGAGCGACAATCCCGGTCGTCGGGCCGTCGCAGAGCCAGCCGAAGACCTCGGCTTCCAGCCGCAGCCTGGCGGTGAGGCATTTGCAGCAGTCGGATCGTTTAGTGATCTGCAGGCCGAGTTCAGGGCCATTCGCGACAGCGTAGCGAAGGTCAAGCTACCGCCAGACCTGGTGGTGGGTGATTCCAGAGCTGGTGTGAGCAGGGGTGACTGGCTGAAATTTCAAGTGTGCGCGTTTTCAAGAAACCTTGCTAAAATTGTTATCTCAGTGCACCAGTTCAGAGCCAGTTCTCCAAGAGATAACTACGATAACGCTCGCCCAACTCAGGTTCCTGCAAGAGGAATACACCAATCTTCTAGTAGCGAACCAGTTCGACGACGGAACGACAAGACTGCTCCAGACGCTTCAGCAGAACCCGGCAGCGTTTACTCCTGGCGCTCTGGAGAATCTTCAGCGCGCAGTGACCATCGCGGGAGCACGTTAAAACCGCCAGGTCAGTGGCCCTGGCAGGTTTCGGGGCCGGGGATCGTTTTTCGCGTCTGCCGGACGGGGTTTCCGTCCAGACCTGCAGGGCCAGCGCACCGGCCCGGCTGGCTCCGGCGCCGGGCCGGCTGACTGGAGATATCGCCGCGGGCGGTACGGAGCAGCAGCAGGGCCGCGCGACCTCGTGCCCCGTGCGCAGCCGGATGACGTCACAGGGGCCTGCGCGGCGGACTAGCGCGCACGCCACGTCAGTGAGAGGGGTGAGTTGGACACTATGCCGTTGCATAGAGAGGCGTGGGCCCGTATAGGGGCTCCCGATAACGTTCTTGAGTGGGTCAATAATGGGGTGCCAGTGCCACTCGTAAGCGTGCCAGAGCGCCGCGTGTTTGAGAATCCTAGGTTCAGCGAACTAGAAAAACAGTTTCTGGACGCGGAACTTTTATCTTTGCAACAAAGAGGTGTGGTAGAAAAAGTTAATTCACACTTCACAGCCACATTGTGTTTCCCCTTTAAAGGTCATTCCCAAGAAAAATTCAAAGTTCCGTTTGATTTGTGATCTTCGCTATGTGAATGCTCACTGTGAAGTGCCGCGTTTTTCGTCGGAAGGTGCGACTGTTCTGCCAGAAGTGACAGTGATGCGAAATGGTGAACTTGCGGTCACTGTTGATTTGAAAGATGGTTTTTATCACTTCCCTGTGCATGCAGATTATCGTACGGACTACGGGGCATTCCACGTCAAATCAAACACCGAAATCCGTCATCCCCTTCGATTTTTCTGAAAATTTGTAGGCAGACTGGGCATGGTTCAAAACTGAGTTACGTATAATATTTTCGAAATTTGATAACGTATCGCCGAGATATAGGTCATCGAATATAGCCAAAAATGCCACACATCATTTTTTTAAATGCTTATAACTCTGGTTCCTTTTCTGGTATCAAAATGATATTAACAGGGTCTTGTAGGCAATTGATAAGGCTTTGATTTTTAATTATAAAATTAAATTGAAGTGACCTTGGAATGCATTTGACCTTGAATTAAGACAGAAAAATTTAAATAGCAAAAAACACGCCACCTTCGATTTGGGTAATTTTTACATATTATGTCCGTCACAATGTTCCTAACCATCTGTGAAAAAATTGGAGTGGGCCATTCATAACTTTCGCGGCAAACCGTTTTCATGCATCAACATCACGCAACCGCGCGTGACCTTGAAAGACAGAGTCAAGACATGCTTGCTTGTGTACACTTTCTGAAATGAATGATTGCTGATTAGTGATATCCCAAACTCTGCGAGAATGGAAATGCATAGTCATCGTAGTCAAGCATTCACGTTCCATTGTAAAAGTGTCTCAGGCAAACGGTATTTTGCGGTGAATTTTGAGCCGTGTGGAAATGCATCATGAAATAAGTTCAACGAAAACATTATCACGCAACGATATCTTCACGTCTTTTGATCTTCACTATACGAAAGAACATACATTTTTGAGTATGTATGGGGAATTTCTAGTTAATCCGATAATAAATATGGCAGTTAGAGTCCTGTTAAAGGGACCCTCCCACCTTAACATTAGTTTTGAGTTGAGATAGCCAAATTGGTGGCCATGGCCTGAAAATACCGGTTTGGGCATTCACAACATCGAAAAATGCCCTAATTCGGAGATGGAATTTCAAACTTGCAGTTTTCGGATTCTAAGGGGCTAATGCATTGGTATGCCCCCTTAGAATTTGTGACGTCAGCGGAGATCTAACGATTTTTAAATCTTTTACTAAAACGTTTGGCAGCACGCGGTGGTATATGCTGCTTTGCGCGCAACAAATGCCGCACTTTCAAATAAAGTCGCTAGGAACAGCGGAGATCCCAAAAAGTAAACAAAAGTAAAAGTCTAATATCTTGAAAACCGGTGAATATTTTTCGATGAAATTTGGTAGATATTCATTTTTGCTCTTTCTGAACCGAGCGACATCACTTTCATGCCAATTCATTAACTTTTTTGAAGGTGGGAGGGTCCCTTTAAGAATAGCATGTCGCCGGCTGAGGCGGGATCGGCCGACGCGGGAAACGCAGCAATCACAATTTTGTGTTTATACGTTCATATTTCAATTGTTTACCAACCTATTTTCAGAATTCTTTCACCATAAGATTGCATCCGTTCCGTCCCGGCACAGTCTACAATTCAGGCGGCGCGTAGCGGTCGGCGCCGGGTGCCGAGTCGCCGCGTCGCCGCGGCGACAGGATGTTCACTTTACACCGCTATTACTAGAACAGTTGTGAACCGATTTTCTTATTGCTTGCACGATGAGATGTGCAATTCAATTCTGGACAGGTAGCCATAAGTAATTTTGCATCAATATTATGATATATTGGCGAAAAACAGGAGGGGTGGGGCGAAATTCACTCTTCCCCCTCCACTGCGCGTGCTAACATACGTTTGCATATGTGCCATTTTCTTCAAAACTTATGAATGGCCCACTCTAATTTTTTCCCAGGTTGTTAAGGATATGGTAGGCAATAAAATATATGAAAATGAGCCAAATCGAAGGTGGTGTGTTTTTTGCTATTTCAATTTTTGTACTTAAGAACAGAGTTAAGCAAATTTCAAGGTCATATATTAAAGTCGATGCAATTCTAAACAAATGCTTAAGAAATTACCTAAACAGTAAGGTTTATTTCATTCAAATCAAACAAGTACAACCAAAGTTATGGTCGTTCAAAAATATAAAGATGCAACATTTTGTAAAAATTTGATGCCCTATATTTAGAAGACCTGTGGTTAGAATGTGCAAAAAACATCAATGTAATGTCCGGGGCGACACAGGAACTCGCTCACAAATTTATAATGAAATCGCTGATGGTAAGGTGCAAAACAGCCGATTTTTGTTCGATTTGACGTGGAATGCCCCGTACGTTTTTGGGGTTCCAGCAGGGCCTCGGCTAAGGAATTTTGACTGGTGGGCCACTTGGGCAGCGACATGGACTGACCTTCGTAGCCATAGCCCCCCCCCCCCCAATTTTCGATTTCTCCCCAGATTTCGGCCACTTTATTCTGCAAAAAAAAGAACGTCAGGATGGCATTAAAAAATGTAAAAAACGGGCCTCGACCCCTCCCCCGACTCTTCAGAGAGAGGAGAGAGTAGAGAGTAGGGACCCACAACCCTCTCAGTGGTGATACTCCGGCGGTGCACATAAAATCGCACAAGTCAGTTGGGGAAACTACGAGGCGAATGTCAAAAAATGGATTGGTCAATAAATGGACTTTTGATGACCATATATGGGCATAAATGCAGCCCCCGCTACTAAGGGTGAAAAACGGTATAACAAGCCGGTACTTGCGGTATCGCGTCCACTAATTGGAGAGAAAAGGCTTCCATTTTTCACCAGGAATTAGTTTGATTTGATTAAATTCGGCGAATTGACTCGAAAATGGCGATAGGAAAACGGCTTTTCTGCAGGTTCTGGGTGTCACAATCAGCTGGCCAATTCAATAAATGGATTGGTTTATGAAAGAAAATTGTTAAAAGATTTAATTTAATTACAATAAACAAAAATATTTAATTCTAAAATAATAACTTAAGTACAATTAGAAAAACCATAAACAAAATAATAAAAATAATGACATTTTTAAACCACGGTACAGCTTACATTTTTTGGCGCGACTGTTTCAATCCGCCATATTTGCCAATCACGGTTTGACCTTGCGTTGTAACTCTGCGATTTAGAGCCGCCAGGTAATTATGCACCGGGTGAGTGTAGGCCTTGTGTGGTTAAAAAACATTCTTATGCCTTATTTTTTCATTTGAATGCTAAAATTCATTGAAAAGATGAAGTTGTCTGATTTTATGACCATATATGGTCATCGCCCCGCCCACTCCAGCCGCTGATTGGCTAATCCAATTTTTGTTTGGCTCCTCGTAGTTTCCCCAACTGAAGTATGCACAAAATATTGACGCCGATAAAACTTTGGACGATAACTTACGGCCGGTCGGATGTTAAAAATCAGCGAGCACTGAGTGGATCGCTCGCCGACTAGTCGGAGATTCGGAAGCGGTGACGGGATCGGGCGTTGTCGGGTGGATCGGGAGGAATTGTGAACAGCACAAGTGCAACTTTAGTGAAGTGGGTTGTAGCAGGAACCCCAAAAGGGGGTTGTAGCAGCAGCCCCAACATCTCTGAAAATGATCATTAAGCATATTGGTGTCGCGTGGAAAAGAATTGACTCAAAAGCCCAAGCGCACTGTGCAGCCCTAATATTTTCTAAAAAAAACTAAGTTATGTACGCTTTTGGTGAACAGTGTCCCAAAATTCAGATTTCTCTTTGGTGTCTGAGTGGAAAATTCTAGCCACCCAAAATGTGAGTGGAAAATTATCCATTCTTATTCTTGAGTGTCATCTTCAGCCCAAATGAGAAATTTTTGGAACGCTGACTGTGAACGGTTCGAAATTCGTCCGACTGGTCAGATGTGTGACTGCAAGCATCATACCGGTCGTGAAGACGCATAATATCGCTTGCAGACTTCAATCTGCTGGAAGTCGCCGACACTTCCTCTAGTTTGACTCTGGCTTATATCGTGTATATCGACTAGCCGTCTGAGATCGCTCGCAGGCTTATACCCGACCGTCTGAACTGGTCTGTTCTTTATTCGTAGTTTTTCTTGTAACTGACTGGTCTGCGGCAGATGCTTATGTGACTGCAACCACTCGATCGATCGGAAAGCTTGCAAGAACTTTCGCAGACCTCGATCGGCTGGAAGCCGCCGACACTATCAGTAATTGACAGAGGGGGCATTCCACGATAGATCGTACCACTTTTTTCCAATTTGACACCCTCATCTCTCGGAATTTGACGAGAATTGGTCTCAGGGGTAATCAGGGGCTCTGAATCCACCTGTAACAATTTCAGGCTTATCAGATAAGTATTTGTTGAGTTATGGTGTATAACATTTTTTGGATCTTGCTTTGCAGCGCTAAGTTTGGCGGGCTGTAACTCTAAGACGGATTATTCAAATGCCAAATGTTATATTACATTGAACTTGCAATGAAACAGAGATTAATGTGTATTTTTGAAATTTTGAAAAATACGCTATTTTTGATATATGACATATCGAGTTTTCTTTCATTTGTATTTTTGGACTTTGGGACCAAATTTTTTTGAATTTTTATTTCTTTAAAAAGATATGTGGCTCATGGTTAAGAAGTATGCCAAAAATTAGGAAGGTGTTCTTTCTATAAATGTATTTATTTTACGTCACGATAACGGTTTCGAATAGTGATTTCGGGAGGGAGCTTATAAATGGCGTGGTAAAGCTGCCTAGTGACATCACGGGTTACTGAAATTTCAATTTAAGTCTGAGTCATCCGAAAAAAAGTGAAAAGAGGGTTTATCCAACCCTCTTTCCTATAAGCGCGAGGGTGAAAAAGACTGTTTGGTTCTGACTTAGATTTGGACGCCAATGACCATAGCTGTCCGAGATGAAAGTTACAGGACGCATACATGATGTCCTCCAGAGGTCTCACAACTTGTATATCTGGGAATTTTTCAAGGTTACATGAGGTCAGGTCGGTCACGTGACACCACTGTTATAAATCAATGGGAAAATATAAAAACTGTTATTTTGGCGCCGAGAATGATCTAAAACTATCCCACGTACATGGTATCGTGATTTCATGCACTCCTTGCAAAGTCCAATGCTTTACTTTTGCATTGTTAACCTTGCGTGGCGTCATTTATGACGTCACTAGGGTCGTACGAGTTTTTCGTCAATAACTCCCGATCAAATGGAGCTAGAGAGTCGGGAAAGCCACCAATGGACTCGGGAAGACCTTCCGAATCGAATGGTATGCCATATGATACCCTTTGCCCAGCTTCGTGACCTGAGGGGCTCTGACCTGACCTTAACCCGAGGTCAACTACTTAAGTTGATCTCACACTAGCAAAAAGTATACCATTCGATGCACCTGAGCTAGGCGAACACAATGATGCCAAAGTCGCGGCTCTGCGGCCATTTTTTGCGAAGTTATTTACTAAAAACCGAACCCGTAACTTCAGTCACGTGACCTGACCTCAGACGCTACCGGTTGACCTGAGACCTTAAAATCGGGTACCAATCGCTGCGACTTGTAACGGCACACACGCTCGTTTTTTCCGCGAGGCTCTAGCTCTATTAGAAGCGAAACGGCGTGCTGGGGTCGTATCAACCCTTCCGAAACCCATTTTGTTTGCGGGAAAATGAGGAACTTTTAGAAAGAACACCTTTCTAAATTTTTGCATGTCGATTTGCAATGACATGAAGTTTATTTTGAAAAAATAAAAATGTGAAAAATTTTGGTCCCAAAAGTCATTAAAGGCAAATGAAAAAAGATTAGGGTTTTTGCTCAATAATGAAATTTTTTCTTTGGAATTTTTAAATAGTAATATTAATTTTTGATTCATCGCAAGCTTAGTGTTGTTTACTTTTTGTTGGTTGCTTAACCCGTTCTTGAGTTATAGGCCATCAAACTCACCGTTACATACCGAAGTTAAAAAAAATGTAATGCAATATAACTCAAAAAGTTTTGATCTGAGAAGTCTGATATTTTGCCAGGCGTCTTTGGGGCCTATGATTACCCCTGGGACCGATTTTCATTAAAATCTGAGAGATGAGGGTGACGGGCCTGGTACGATCTATCGTGGAATGCCCCAGAGGCAGACGTCTTTCACGATTATTGCATAAAATTTAAAGCTTCGGTCACACTTCACCGGATTGGACCAACGGACGAGAAACGGACGAGAACTGTCAGCGTCCGGTGATGTCCGTTTGTTTCCGTTGGACGTCCGTTTGTCATCCGTTAATATCCGTTCCATATCCGGTGGTGTCCGGTTGAGCACACCGGACACCACTGGACATGGAAGTACTGTGACGTCACATGGAAATCGAAGTAAAAATCATACAGCAAAGACGTAGGTGGTGGATAAAGTTGTGGGTACTATAGTCCTCCCAAGAGGATATTGCAAACAATAGGTTGAAGTTTTTCACAAGAATATGTTTCACCGATGGGTACTTAACAGCCTGAAAATGTACGATAAGATCTGCTATTTCAATTTGAAAAGTGAAAAATGTGAAAACTTCGATTTTTCGGAAAATAACTGGTGGGCCAAATCTTTGAGGCTGGTGGGCCATTTCGGGTCACTGGTGGGCCATTTGGCCCACCAGTTAACATGTTAGCCGAGGCCCTGGGTTCCAGTACGGTGGCAGTTGGTTTGTATGGTGTGTACTTCCGTTCGGTATGGTCGCTAGCCCATATTATTTTCATAAATGTATTCGAGCTGTGGTGGAGTATACCTGAGAGGAAGAAAAAATTTGTCTGTGATGGCTTATGTCGATGACTTTTTGTTGACGTCTACCCAAAGTGCAATGTCGCATGACCTCAGAGTTTTCTTAGACACGTTGGAAATGCTTGGTTTGTGTGTAAATCGGCAGAAATCATGTCTGGATCCTTCAGAGACGGTGTCTTATTTGGGTTTTGATATAGGTACATTGTGCTCATCAGAACGACCCCCCGCTCATAACCGTCCCGAAAAGCAAGGTTTCAAAACTCAAACAGGATATTTCGAGAGTCTTGAAACGCCCCACCGTGTCCGCACGTCTCCTGGCACGAATAGCAGGACGCTGTATTAGCATGATGGCTGCTGTTTTCCCAGCAAAGTTAAAACTACGAAATGTTTACTGCATGCTCAATTCTAGGCACACGTGGAACGAAGCCATGTTTTGGTCGGCCGAGGCGAGAGAGGATCTGACGTGGTGGATCCAGTCGTTGGACGGGTGGAACGGCCGGCTGCTGGTGCCGCCGGCTACATGCGACTTTCAGCTCTGCACGGACGCATCAGGAACAGGCTGGGGTGCGACCCTTTCCGCGCCTGTCGGCCAAACCGCCTCAGGCTTCTGGGGGTCAGAGGTGAGCGCCGAAACGTCCAATTTTCGAGAGTTGTTAGCGGTTTATCTAGCGCTGTTATCTTTTAAGAACTTGCTCTATGGCAAAACTGTCGAAATTTTGTCAGATAATATCACGGTGGTCGCCTTAACCCGCGCCCCACTGGGGTCTGCGTATAACACGCCCTACTGGGGGGGGGGGCTATTCATAGCCCCCCTCCTAACTCCGAAACTACTGGACCGATCGTCAAAATTCAAACGGCGTCTGATAGCCCCGGAAAAACTGTCGAACGAAACCTAATTTCATTGACCTTGAGGTCACCGATGACGTCACAGGTCAGGTCAAAGTAAAAATTATTAGCATTTTGCTTGTTCGCGTTTTGGGCTCTGGCCGCCGTCTTACAAGTCAGATCAGGCTCATTTTTGGTTCACACACTCGTGAACAGATGCTCTAGATACTCTGAGGGTACCAAAATTGTACTTTGATTTTCAGGTCGTCAGGTCATCACAGGTCACGAAAATATTATATCATGCGTCGGTCACGTGACACATTTTTTATGGTCCATTTAGGCCTAAGATTTCGAATTTGATGTCTTCTGTGTCATTCGAGGTCATTTTGAGTCGAATTTAGCTTAGGTCAGGTCACTTTCAGGTCAAAAAAGGTCAAATTTTGAAGTTATAATTTTTCAACAGAAAAGGTGGCTATTGAATGCAGTTTGAGCTCAGGAACACGATGGTGCTATTTATATTGGCGTACGATGTCAAATACGTGCTGAAAAATTGATTTGAAAAATTAATGATTGTGAATTTTTTGCAATAATGCGTATAACTTGGCCATTTTTGAAGATATTTAGCTTAAACTTGCTAGAGTTAGTCGTAATAACGCGTTCTATCACATGTATTCCGGTTTTGTCGAAAAGTCGAAAACTTTTTGAAAAAATGTAAAGATGTAAATTTTGAATCTTATTATATAAAATTTTCGAAATTTTCAAAATTTCGAAAATCCGAGATAGCAGTTGGATAGCGCAGTCTATTCTGAGTCCTTTCATGCAAAGAAATTGGATCTAGCTTAAAAACTGAGCCCTTGGGAGCGATTGCCGTGGTTCAATGTTTTGCGTCGAAATCGGCCGAACATGACGTCACTCGGACGTCATTTTCGGCCGACCTATGGTAGCTACGAAGTTCAAATTTTGACACAAGGTGTCAAATTGATGCAGCCGAAGGTACTGAAAGTTTGGCGTCAATACGTCAAGCGGTTTGGAAGTTTTTGCAGAAAAACGGGAGGGGGGGCTATAAATAGCCCCCCCCCCCCGTGGGGCGCGGGTTAATCAACAGGCTGGGGGAATCTCAGCCCCGACTCGACGCGATCGCCCAGAATATTTGGGCCTTTGCTTTTAAGCATCAGATTATGCTTGTCGCTCATCACATCGCGGGATATCTAAACGTACATCCAGATGATCTTTCCCGTATTCCACTACGCCATGAATGGACCTTGCACCTGTCTGTATTCCGGCAGTTGGAGCGTATGCTCGGTGCACACACGATCGACCGGTTCGCAGCCCTGGCCACAGCCCTGCTGCCGGTCTACAACAGCCGGTTCCGGGATCCGTGCACGTCCAGATTAGACGCACTGGGCCAGTCCGATTGGAACCAGCACAACTTCGTCAAACCGCCGTTTCGTCTGATTCCGCGGGTGCTGGATGTGGTGGAGGCGCAGCAGGCGGTGGCCACCCTGATTGCGCCACTGTGGCCGGGAGCGCCCTGGATGGGGCGGCTGCGGCGGCTCAGCGTTTGTCCGCCGCACAGTGGGGCCGTTGACCAGTTTAGGGCGAATTTATTCGTAGCGTTGTTAATATTTCTCAATATGTTTTTCAAATGGTTTAAATGGGTATATTTAGGCATTTTGGGTCATCCCTGATGCTTTCGATATATTCGATAATCGAAAAAGCATAAACACACGATACATATGTATTGCATCACATGTTACATACATACACTTTGAACACTCTCACGACACGTCGCGCTGGTTCGACTCTGCCAGTCACTGCTGTCACTGCTGAACAGTCACTGCTGCTGTGGCAGTCGTCGCTGTCGACACCACTGCTGTCGGTGCCGTCGTCACGACGTAGCTGATTCTCTCTCTCTCTCTCTCTCTCTCTCTCTCTCTCTCTCTCTCTCTCTCTCTCTCTCTCTCTCTCTCTCTCTCTCTCTCTCTCTCTCTCTCCTCCCCCTCCCCCTCCCCCTCCCCCTCCCCCTCCCCCTCCCCCGGCGCTGTAGACCCAGGCTGCTGAGCAGCAGGTCGCTCGCCACGAGCAGGTAGCCCAGGAGATCCGACATCGTGTGGATCCTCGAATCCTTGCGGGTGTGTCGAAGGCGGTACTGGCGGACCCGCTTGTGGGTAGCCTCTGCTGCTTCCTCAGACATCATACCGATCGGGAGGTGGCAAGACTCCACCACGGCCGCGGAGTGGCTCAGCAGCTTGTGCAGCGTGGAGGACATGTACCTCTCCACGTACAGCTCAGCCGTGCGGCGGCAGTACGCGGAGAGAGCGTCGATGTCGGATGTCCAGTCGGTGCAGACAGCTGACAGCCTGCAGCACCGTGCCGACCCGGTCGATCAGCTCCTGGTCGACGCCGGTGCAGGCCGCGAACTCGGCCGGCGAGCGGAAGGCGCGGCGGGCGGTGTTGCCGTCGTTGGAGTTGCCGCTGCCTCCTGCCCGCGGCTCGTCCACACGCAGCCCCATCCTGGTCCTGAAGGCCTCCTGCACCTCAGCCGGGTGTACGGAAAGCAGCAGTACGGGGCAGGAATGATCAGGTACCAATAATCGAAATCATCGTGGCCAAAGAGGACTTATTTCATACTCTCGAAATAGGTTACGATACATTTGCCACCCAATGACTAGCTGACACACATCCTGACCCATAATAGCAGGCTCGATGATTGGCTGCTGTAGACAGTGACATCACTCAATGGGCGGGACTAAAAACCAAACGTCATTCCGGATCCTGTCGGGTCACGCACCGTCCGCCCCCAGGTCAGGTCACGGCGCGCGGCTGGGTCATGACCGAGCGGCGTGCCGTCGGTCATGTTTAAACTCGAGCTACCGGTGAGGCGAGCAAGTTCGAGCAGGAAAAAAAGGTCGGGCCAAGTAAAAAAAATGCTGGCAAATTGCAATCATGCTAGATCTGACGTGGCGGCAAACGGCGGTAGTTGTTGAAATCTTCGGTTTTCATGAAACATCGTTATGAAAACGCTATGCATGTATTGGTTTGATTCTATCAGTCGTAACGTGCAGACGATAGGTCAGCCAGTATTGCAAGTTATTCTATCGTTTTTTAGAGACATTGGGAAGAACAATGGTGTATGATTTATATCAATTCAATATGTATTACACTATGTAAACTTGCGTTACAAAAGTCGCGTTCTCGCCCGCAAATCGGCAGGATATGAGAAAGCCAACAATTTGTCCACTTTGAGTAGTCAAATCACCCCCTAAAAGTTGCCATATGTGCAAAATTCAGGTGGTTTCATAAAATTCAGGCAATTTCCTATACATTCAGCCATATTTCAAGCAGATTTTCGAAAGTCACTTTCTTGATTAAATTCGCCCTAAACTGGCCCGCGGCCCGTCCGTGGCCGGTTCAGCTGCCTCCAGTGACGCAGAGCTGTCTGCCTCTGCTGCCACACCAGCAGATCGAGCCGCACCGCAACAGGCGGTAGACTCTGTGCGCCTGGCGGATCTCTGGAGAGCCCGGCTAGAGGCGTCTGGATCAGGCCCATGTCGTCCCCTATCTCCGCGTGTGTCCACTAACACGAATGACGTCACGCATGTGGGCGGAGCTATGTTCGGAGCCTAACGCACGCGGCAGTCCAAGCCGCCATATTTGAATTTATATTTTGATAGAATCTTGCCGATATTTTGGGTGAAGTCAATTTATATGGATAGCTTGGTGACAGTTTAGCTATACGAATAATAATTTATTATGGATGTGCGTATATTCAGCTTGGAATTGCAATTTAAGTTCCGCACCGCATAGATTCGAACTCGGGACCTTTGGAATACTGCGCGGGCACGCTAACCACTACACTACCGCGACCGCGCGGCGGCCGGCGGCAGGGAGGCTGCGGAGACATGGGGGACATTTTACGCTTTTGTGAAAAAAGCAAAAGATGTAGCGAAAAACACGTAATAGATAACTTGCAGAAAATTGTCTGCTCTTTCAGATAAGATACTTAGGTTTGATATCTTGTGCAGACTTCATTCTACAGTGCTTCGAAAATCGCTCATTTACATGGGGATTGAACGGGGCTTCGAGACTTGACTCCAAATGACGTCACGAGCTGACGTCACGAAAAGGTAGATTCGCCGGACGACCCTACCTGGTATATATTAGGTCGTTCAATAAGTAACGAACAATCGGTCATAACTTCTTTATTTCTTTATTCAACACTTTCAAACTTTCACAGATTATAGATCAGACATTTCTGAATGCAGCCTATGCCTCAAACCAGCCGCCGCCCGCCTGTACACACTTCTCCCAGCGTTCCGGCCAACGCCGGAATTCCGCCCGGAAAAACGCGTTTTCCGTCTTTTTCACCCAGTTCATGACAGCGCACATGACTTCAGCGTCGGTCTCGAAGTGTTCACCATGGAGGCCATCCTTTAGGGGACCAAAGAGGTGAAAACTGAAGGAGCCAGGTCCGGACTGTAGGGCGGCTGGGGCATGATATTCAGCCCTGTCACGCGATCTCCTCGCGCGTGGCGTGAGACAAGTGCGGTCGGGCGTTGTCATGGTGTATGGTGATGTTGTTGACATCCGAGCCGCGCCTCTTCTTCAGGATTGCTTTTCTCAGTCTCCTGCAGGACTGTGATGTAGCGGCCCGCTGTCCATAGTCCGCCCAGGTTCAAGAAAGCCCACCAGGATGACACCATGACAACGCTCGTCCGCACATGTCTCACGCCACACGCGAGGAGATCGCGAGACAGGGCTGAATATCATTCCCCAGCCGCCCTTCAGTCCGAAC